AGTGGTGGACGGTGGTGACCGAGATGGAAGAGAGCTGGATCTGCTCCTGGTCGTGGTCAGGGCGCCGGGATAGGGCATCTGCGACCCGATTAGTCTCACCCTTGATGTGCTCAGTGGTGAAACTAAACTCGGATAGGTCGCGCCACCAGCGAGCCTGTCGAGGAGTGAGCTTCGGCTTAGTCAGAAAAGCCTGGACAACAGAGTTGTCCGTGAGCACCGTGAATGGTGCCCCGTGCAGGTAGTGCCGCCAGTGCCGAGCGGCATAAACTACCGCGAGAACCTTACGTTCATCAGCAGTGTAGTTTATCTCGGCGGGCAGGAGCTGACGGGAGTAGAAGGCTGTCGGACAATCACCTGAGCGAGACTCGACGGTGCCGTCCTCGGCGATGGTAGGAGAATAGTCAATAGAGGGCTCGTCAGTAGCTGGACGAGTAGGCGTCAGTCGGGAAGCAGTGGTAGGGGTAGGTGGTGGGAAGCGAGGGATACGAGGATGAGAGGAATCAGGAGATGAATGGAAGACCTGAGAAAGCACTGCTCCGACAGCAAAGTCTGACGCATCGGTGGTAAGGATAAAAGGGCGATCAAAATCGGGTAGGTGAAGAACTGGTGCGCATGTCACCGCCTTCTTGAGGGCGCGGAAGGCGTCCTCGTGGAGGGGTGTCCAAGCCCAGGGTGGGTTCTTCCGGAGGAGGGTGGAGGTAAGGATGTAAACCTACGTAGCACCGTGTTCGCGTTCAGAGGCAAATGTGAACATGAAAAATATGAAAAAACTATATGTGATATAAAATAATAAAAAAAGCAATTTTTGCTTTGGAGTCATGTTCAAATTCGTAGCCAACCATGAGTTAAAAATAAAAAACCGATTTTTTTTTTTTAACGGGAAAAAAAAGTTCGCCCGAACATGTTCGCGAGCTGTTCGCGCGTTCGTTCGCCCGAACGTCAAGGGGCGCGAACACACTCGCCATGGTATGCAGGTGCAAACCTTTATTTGTTTCATGCATTACAAATAAATTGATAAACTACTAAAACTTATGTCAGAGGTACTCCTTAAGGCAGTGGTTGGTGTCCAGCTTATCGGTTTTTGTTAGTTGTTAATGTTGAAGCACGAATGAGTATAAGATGAATTATGCATTTCAGTATGATTAGTCGAAAAACGCTTGTTCGGCCAAACAAATTATGATAAAAGTATGGTTATTCCTTTCTTTTTACCAAGGTTCATTTGACAACTCTCAAATATCGACAAATTAAACGATGAATTAATAATGTAATATAAAATATGGTTTAGTCAGTGCATCCGTAAATATTAGTTTCATGAATATTTGACCCGAAGTTGATCAAAGAACTGTATTTTAATCACATTCTGGCAATTCCCACCCTATAAACCACATTTGCATATTTGCACATTAACGAGAGAAGGTTAACGGAGACCCTAATTTTCATACCACTTGCCATGCTATTTAAACGAAAACCAAAGTGTCATTTTAATCAAACTTGCCACAAATTCTTAGACTGGAGGCCACACTAACTAACTACAAAAACAAAACCCCAAAAAATTAAAATTAAAAAACATATAAAACAGAAAGGCAAAAATGCATTTTCATAAAATTTTGCCAACATTCAAATTTTAGAAATCTTGAGAAATTCCGTAAATCTGAATAGGGAAAATTTGAATTCTCCAAATGACATCAAATTTAACACACAGCAACCGTTGGCCAAAGCAAGAACAGAAAAAAAAAATACATAAAATTTGACCATGAAACCCTAATTTCAGTTTTCGGCTTGTTACCCAGGGCCTCAAATTGGGGGTCACGTTAACCACTGGTGACATTATCACTATTTAATAAATCAACATCGACTACTATCACCTGCTAATAAAATATGATTGCAATGACCAACACTGGCGACAAACCTAATTTTGTACATAGACTCCGTCCAATTTTTTATGTAGGCCATAACAAGTTTATCCATACAAATAAATCATCCATACAACAACATTCTCGAGCGCATCGGCTCCCTCCTTTTTCGCAAAGGCCAGAGCCCTCCCGGCCATGTCACGCAGGAGTAAACAAAACAAAACTAAGAGACAACTCGGGAACGACGCAAAATAATCCCACGAACCGTTGCAGCAGTTCATCCCTAGAAGCAGTAGAAACTGCAAAGGCAAAGCTCATATAACTTTCTTTCTGCAATATTCGTCGGCGTCTTGATTGGCCACTATCCAGTTACAATCTCCGTGAGGGATAAAAGTTTAGCTGCTCGATGCCATGGTCAGAACTCCATCGTAATTCGGTCAGAATCCGCTCAGGGTTTAATCAAAACTTAACTAGAGTCTAAATCAGGCACCCAATTGGTCTTTCTTCGAGCTTGCACCAGACAAAGAGACAGACTAGTGGAAACTAAACCTGGTTTGAGATTGGTTCTGATTGGACATACAGCAAAGCATCGGTTCAAACAACAAATTCTGACCAGTAATTAAACAGACAATCAATCAGCAGTCAGTAATACTCAAATTTGCAACCAACAACATTCCAAACTGCGAACAATCAGCAGCCAGTAGTATTCAGATATGCAGTCGATAATAATTTAAACAGTGAGCAAACAGTAATCAGACAACTATCAAACACCGTACAGTTGGCTTTCAAACTACCTCGTGCTCGAGGGTGGCTATTGGGGCACACTGCTGTACGATCTGAATGTAAATGAACGGAGATATGCAGGACGATGAGCAAAGAGCACTCTAATCAGAGAAAAGCAAAAAGGATGGGAGGAAGGAGTCTGCCGAGATATGGAATTTAATAGGAAAGTTCAACGTGAGCACGCGTTTCAGAGGGTGGAGGGTGAGAAGTACATCGAATACATAATCTATTTCTACGGAGTCAACGGCAAGTTGCTCAGTACCAGTTCCTCGCTTGAGACAGTGGAACATGCCAGGGCAAAGCTCTCGTGAGCTTGGTTGTCCAAGTGGCTCTACTCTCTGAAACAACAGTTCTCAGTTTTCAGTGTGGATTTTCAGTACTCAGAGCAGTTTTCCAGTACTCGGTGCAGTCTTCAATACTCAGAGCGGTAATTAGCACGCAGAACAATAATCAGGGCTCAGAATAAAAATCAGTGAATACTATACAAGATCAGCGGGCTAAGAACAGACTCATTGAACTTGAAGCAGACTCAGTGAGCTTCGTGCAGAGTCAGTATTCTCGGCAGCATTCAGTTCTCACGTCAATAATCTCAATGGTATCTTGTTTTCTCAGTCAAGCAGCAATTAACCAGCAACCTTTCAGTCCTTGATCTGCAGTTAACCTGCAATTGACCAACATTTATTCAAGTATCTGGTTGGTAATCTCAGCAACATTCTCATCAGAAACAACAATCAATTAATCAACAATCAGTTATCAGCAATCGGTTCTCACCGATCAATTTTTGGTGATCGTCTAGTCAGTCTGCGCCGGTCAATCTACCCATGAGTACAGTCGAATCCTTTCGAGTCAGCGAGTTAGTGCTGACCAACCTCAATCAGATTTCATGCAAGGAGGCATTCCGTTATCAGTATGCTAGTGCCATTGGTTTCAAGCAGAGAGATCTGTCAATCTTCGTTGTCCATACCAGATTTGCTGACGACACTATCCACGATCTGAGGCCCTATCTGAAGAAGGGCAAGGAGGCTCATGAGCATTTCAATCCAGTCTGGATCTCAGCCACCAAATACCTCGAGCAGAGACAGAGCGAACTCGATGAGAGTGGCACTACGCTGATCTGCAGCTTTGGGCCAAAGCTTTATACTGACTATCCCAGACCTCCTGTTCCTTCCCTCCTCACTGATGGCAAAGGATGGCAAGACATAATCAGCTTGGCAAAAAGATATATCTCTCCAGCGGTGATCGACATTGAGGCACTGACAGAGCCCACCAAGTATCCCTACCTCAGACGATGAGTTTTTTCAGTGGACGAACTGCCTACATTGTGGGCGGAGTTTTGCTCCATGGTTAACTTCCGTGTCATGTACCTCGGATGGTCATGCTCAGAGCTTGCTGACTTCAGGTGACTCTTTGTCACGAGGCCTCAATCTCAGATTGTACGTGGGTGTGGGTCATAGCACCAGAGATGAACAGTGAAAAGAGAGATTGAGAGAGACTGACCAGAGGGATGAGTGATGACTCTTCAGAAGTGTTAACCATACCTATTTATGTGTACTTTCTGAGATTATTATGAGTTCTTATTCATCCTTCATTCATTTGATCTTGCCTTTGTTTGAGTCAGTCGGTCTTGCTTCTTGTTTTGTTCTTGCCTGATGATTGCTATGGTGGATGATTCAGTCACTGCTCTCAAAATCAGATTGACATAATTGATGCATGCATAGCACCCCATGATTTTTATGGTTATTATTTGCATAATTCTCTGTTGTTCCGAATCAAAATAAAAGATTCCTAAGATCGGGGACCGGCGAAGACCGCAATTGAAGGGTCTCGCTCGAAGCCGGACGCACACAACAGAAAGGGATTTGCATTATTTAATTTATTTTATTTATTGCAATCACAATCAAAATCCTGCGTGACAGCCTGTTGGTTTTCCGGTCGCCTGAAGCGGTCCGACTGGAAAAAGTGTGACACCACGCTTGACAAGCCTGAAAAACGATGTTGAGCTCCTCCGTCGACGTCCTGTTCAGTCTCGCCCTCACCACTCTGTCGACCATGGCAAGTGCCCACGACCACATGCGAGTCATCACGCGCCCCCCTCTGTCCAAACGTCGCAGCAGCTGCATCACAGGCGTCATGAGCTCCACAATGTCCTCCACGTGCTCCGAGAATGTCGCTTTTTGCACCTGATGACGCACCCACCTGGCCTGCAAGAAAATGGACCTCCTCCATGCAGTCCGCAACCAATCGTCGCTCATCATCAAAGACTCCAACGCTCGGTGACGATCCAACAACCTCTCCAGCATCAAGTAGTACGTAGCAAACCTCGTCTGTGCGGGGTACACAAACTTTCTGCCTCGCCGTTGAGACGAGGGTGAAGCAGCGTTGGAACTGGCCGCAACTGCGGAGGCGGAAGAGGGGTGGGCGGCAGAGAAACGTCGGTAAAGGCTGAGAGCCGCCCCGTGCTCTCTGATGAAACGCACGACTGCTCGAGCCCTGATGATGGTGCCCTCCCTCTTCCCAAGCTTCCCACGTATGCCGTCCTTCGCAATGTCTGACAAGAACAAGTTGCAGACATGGACCGCACACGGAAGCCAAGAAATACGACTGTACTTGACTTCCTCCTTCGCGAGGAGCTTGGATGCAGCCACATACATGGACGTGGAATCAGTGCAAATGGCGTTGACGTTTTCGACACCGAACTTGTCGAACACGTCCTTCCATCGCTCCACCACGACCTCGACTGTCTCTTGAACATCACTGTCACGCTGCACAGTCCTGAAAAGGTAGGCTCCCGTTGGGCCAGCAGCAAGGAAGTTGACTATCTGGTCGCTAGTGATGGACTTGCAACCATCGGTGAGGATGGTCGCTCCCGTCGCCGCAATATCCTTGCGGACGGCCGCCACCATCTCCGCCACAACTCGCTGCTACTCTGGGATGTCGTCGCCGGAAATGACACGGTGCGTGGGCAACGCAGGATGTGTATACGGCGGACACTCGAGCAACCGCTTCCTCACTCGTTGGTACTCCGGCCTCCTCGCCGCCTCGAATGGAATGCTGCACACGTACCACCATTGCAGGAACTCGTTCGAAAACTCCCGTTGCCACACCGGATCGAAGGTCTCCATCATGGATGTCTGTCGAAGGACCTTGCCCTTCTTCGGCAGAGGAGGAGCTGGTGTTGTTGCCTTCCTCTTTCTCTTCTTCGATTGCGCGGCCACCTTTATCGCTTTGACAGCCCCTTCTTGGCCTCGACGGCCAGCGACCATCAAACCCCCATCAAGAGATGCCCCAATGTCTGCGCCCTCATCGTCGTCGTCATCGTCGTCGTCGTCATGCTCGTTCGGGTTGCTGTCCTCGTCAACGGCCTTGTCCCCCCTCATCTTACCCCTGGCGCGCTCCGCCTCTCGCCGCGCCTCCATGTCTTGTGAATCGCTGTCACTATCATCACCTCCCCCCTCGACCGCCCTCCTCTCGTCATCGCTGTCGTCGTACTCCTCCTCCCTCGCCTGCTCCCTCCCCGAAGTATTTCTATTGTCTCGAAACCCACGAGACCTGAGGAAGTCGAGGATCTTCCGATGATGGCTGTGATCGAACGAGTAGTTTGTCTTGTTCCAAATCTCCGCGAGCTGCTCCGCGGTGACTTTAGAACAGTTGTTCTTTATTGTAAAGTGTTGTGCGGCCTTCGATTGACTGCCCTGAAACCCCCGACCGCACAATTTGCACTCCATGAGAAAATTCCCATTGGAGTTCGACAGTGTTTGCCCCTTCGTGATCTACTTGAATCCACAGAACTTCAGCTCCGCCTGCCTCTGTTTGTCCTTACTGACAAGGACAAACTGCTGTTCTCTAGTCCCTTTCATAGGTGCCATTGCACACACCCCGCACACAACTACGCCTGCGGCCCTGCGGCCCTGCCCGACGCCCTGCGGCCCTGCGGCCCTGCCTTAGGCGTACGGGCCGTACGGACGTCCCGTCCCGTAAGCATGCCCCATACGTACGTTGTGGCCGTACGTACGCTGCCCGTCCACGCCTCGCACACGCGCCGCCGCTTCACGACATCGTCGTCGTCTGCGCCGTGCCCGCCATCGCCACTGTTGTCAACGTCGTCTTCGTCGTCGTCGTCTTCGTCCACTCTCTCTCTCTCTCTCGCACACACACACACACACACACACACACACACACACACACACACACAAAAACACAAACACAAGAAGAAGAAGAAGAAGAAGAAAAAGAAGAAGAAGAAGAAGAAGAAGAAGAAGAAGAAGAAGAAGAAAAAGAAGAAGAAGAAGAAGAAGAAGAAGAAAAAGAAGAAGAAGAAGAAGAAGAAGAAGAAAGAAGAGAAGAATCAGAAGATGAAAGAAGAAGAAGAAGAGTTTTTTTTCTCTCTCTCTCTCACACACACACACACACACAAGAAGAAGTAGTAGTAGAAGAAGAAGAAGAAGAGTTCGAAGAAGAAGAGCTAGAAGAAGAAGAACT